TCGGGCTCGGTTTAACCGATATCCCGGTGAAAATTTCCGTTACCGTCTTTGTGTATCTTATATAATTTATAAAACAATAGAAGAATAGCGTGCCCGCCAACTACAGCAGCGTCCCAAGTAACAAACTGACGTTATTTTTCGTCATTTTAACGTTAAAATGTCGTCAAAAACGTTCTTTTGACGTTATTTTGTCAAAGTATAATTTTTTTGTTGTTAGCTTGTTACCAAGGTGTTATACGTGATCCGCGTAATATTTCAACAACTACCGCCATTGAGAATTTGTTATCACTTCGTTACATTAGTTATCGTAATCTCGAGACGTTTACAGAACGCTAGATTATGGAACGATAATAGACGACGATAATAAAACAATTAATTATAATTGTTGTAGTCGGGATTAAGAGCCATTTTCGTCTCGTTACCGCATGCCTGTTGCATTATTTGCGAGTGCACAAGTGATCGAGCTACATGTTCTCTCTCGCATATCGTATCTTTTCCTCGCTAATGAAAAACATTATCTTAGTTATCGTTTCACGTCAAATAAAAAACGGCGAATGTTACATAGATTATGACTCCTTTCTTTTTCTTTTTACTTCCTTATCAATTATTTCGTTGCTCCAAGCGTCGCGTTTTATATTTCCGTAGAAACCCCGTCGTTCAATCGGTTGTATCGATCGCTAATGTGATTCCGCGAAGATTTCCGATTTCCGAGGTATATACATATAATCGGAATACAGGATAAATTTACAAGGTGAACAGTCTGCATTTCTTTTTTTTTCCTCTCCTTACACGCGCCCGAGATAGCGTTATCGCGTAACCTCGGATAAAGCAACGGGCATAACGTTACCCTTACGCTAGATCATGAAAAGGGGGCTAATTCAAGCTATACGCGCCTTAATTTACGAAACAGACGATCGACACAGTCGTCAACGTATCTTTTTTTTATCAATACTTTTTTCTGGAGCAACATAACGTAATTTTCCGTTTTGTGTGCGTTTGTGACACGGATGGAAGATTTCTTTGCGGAGCGTCGATTCTCAGTGCTTGTTCCGTTCTTCACTCTCTCAAGAATCGAAAATCTGACGCCAGAATTCGTTTGTCCCGGAAATTTGATTTTCTTTCTTTATGTTTAAGCGAGTGCGAGTGTAAATATAATCGACTCGCGAAATCGCGTGACGATCGTTTCACGAAATTTTCTCCGTGATGTGAATCTAAAAAACGATTCGAACGAGAGCTTTACAGCTTTACCTCGTCCGTTATTTTGTATCTTTTTTTTTCGAAGAACCAGCAAGCTGTTCGGTGACCGATAAGGAATAAGCGCGATAATAAAATGGTACTAGTCGATTAATATTTATATGCAAAGTATTACAAATTGAGTAGACGTTATAGGAAAATTAATTAACGAGATTGATACTTGATATCGAAAATGCCACTATACTATTAAGCCGATATTTATCGTCGCGCTTGACGGATTCCTATTGATTTTGGCCGATCTCTCGCTTGGCGAGAGGCAAACCCGATCGCGAGTGATAGAACCGTTATAGCTGAGAGCTATATACAATATAATATAATAATAGAGCTATAGTCTTGTGGTGTTACACGCAGCAATATTGAGTCATTGTGTTCTTTTTAGGCATTCCAATTACCGTCGTGGTGAACGAAATCGGCTATCAATCTTCGAACGTTTCGTGGAAACCTTCTGGTATCGTTTCATTGTATATTCCACTCAATCGCTCATTTATTGCTCTGCCATTTTGATTATTCGTGACACAGGTTTTTAGCGCTATTCGCATCATACATTTTTTAATTATGTTTTAGGAGCGATAATTACGCTCGTTTCTCGCAAGGAAACACGCGCAAGTGCGTTTCCTTCCGATTTCAATAAGCTTACGCATTTTAATATTAATCAAAATAAGAAGCACGTATCTTTTCATAAATAGTAATCTCACGCATGTTAAGGAGATCTTTATTGGTTTATTGGTAATTATTTAGAACGAAGAAGTGATCCTGGCTATACATGAATATTTTGAGGAGTTGAATAAATTAAGCTATAATGCTGACATAACTGATATTTTTAGAAAAATGTTGGATGAAGTGCATTGAGTGCAAAAGGTATTATATTAAAAAATAAGTTAGATGAAGTGCATTCTGAACCCAAAAATATGATGTTTTCATTGTCACTTAAGAAACTTTTCGAACTCTCGTATATCAAAAAATACATTTTCAAAAAATCTGAATATCATCTTTGCAAAATATCTTTAAAATCAAACTTTTGCTTAAAACATTTTAATACCGACTATTATTTTTATCTGTATTACAACATATCGAAAGCTCATCAAAATTGGAAGAAGATACTCACACGTGTTTCCTCGTTAGTGAACAAGAATTTTCCGTTTGTACATGCAAGCACGCGCGTGCATTTATGTATACATAAGAAATTCTAATTCGAGAAACGGCAGCGGTATCGTCCTTAGTGTGTGTCAGTCTATGTGTGTTTATAGGGCCGATAAAATTCAAATACGACGGGATCTTAAAGGGAGAGGAAGACATTCTTGAGTGAATCTCGTCTATGAGAGAAATCGACAATTTCGCTGGGATGTTTCGCGAGGTTGCTCGTAATCCGCATAACACTAGAATCGCGGAGACAATACACATTTGTGCCCCCCATTACGAAAGTTTAGACTTGCATAAATGTTACTCGAATATACGCGAACGCCTTTTGTTTTTACACAACTTTTCTTAACTTTAAATGTAAAATGCTTCGACGGCAAATAATGGGATATCTTTGACTTCCGAAGCAATTTTCAGTAAAGGAGCGATTCTAGTGACAATTCGAGTCTTTCGCAGCGTCGAAAATGTCATATACTCCTTCGCGAGTATCGGAGTAAAAGCGCCATAATGTTGCCAACTTTGTCATGCTTCCAAATCTCGTCAAGTCATTATCTTCTTCATTTGATCGTAACTGTTTGATTTAGGGCACGACCCGATTATTATCCGGATGTCGTAAATAAATCTGCCGCTGCGAAATGATCAGAGATATGTAAAGCGGACGAAATTTAGAAGCCTGATGAAGGATATCATTCTCTTGTACGTATGCTCGGAGCGTTAGAGAGATCTTAGATATGTAACAGTTTCAGAAACTAAAGAACAACATTTCCAGTATAATCGACATCGAGCCGAATAAAGTCCGGAAAAATACATTCGTTGATTGTTGGAGATGACGTATCTGTGTATAATGAGTAGAATGTGCCTATATCGCGGATAAATGAAAGACAGAGAAAAGAGGAAATATTTAGGGAAACTATTACGGAACTATTCGGTACATAGAAAAAGATGTATTGCTCAATTTAGCAAAGCTACACGGAAAGAATGGTTTTGCTGAGGTATTTAAAAATTAGGCCAGATACAAATCTGAAAATAATTATCGAGTAAACAAACTGCCCACAGTATGACAACAGATTGGCAGCAAATTTACTTTATAGATATCGGAATAAATCCGGTATCACCTGTGCCTACATTAAACTCGTATTTTGCTGCCAGAGCTTGACGATATAATTTGACAGCAGATACTCGGCAGAAACTCAGCAGAAAATCTGTCATTTCATAAACATTAAAAAGAAATATATTATTTAAATGTTTAGGAATTAAACGACAAATTTTGCTCAATTTCTGCAATCAATCTACCATTATATTTTGCTAGCAGATTTAATTCTATTTTTGTTGGTATTCTATCGACAAAACTTGTACTTTCAAAATCTGTTCTCGACAGATTTGACTATCCGGCTATTTTATGTTGGACTATCTAAATAATTATATTAAACGCTCAAGCATTTGCTAAAATGTCGAAATTTTTGTAGCATTGTCATGATTTAAGTCCCACATAATTATTTTGATAATCCAACATAATTATTTTCAAATATGTATCTGATTTAATCTTGATATACTTCAACAAAACTGTTCTTTCCGTACAGGTATATATGTAAATATTTATAATTAAGCAAATTTGATCTCTGATGAACCCAATCACCTAATCATAGACTATGCTGATGACATTATTTTGATCTAAGGAAAATTTACTGACACAGTCAGAGAGCTTATGCACCAAGAATCTTATTGTCATAATAAAACCGTCGTTGCACATTCAATGTAAAGGACACCAAACTTTGCTGTTGTTACTAATACAGTTCGATAGTACAGTAAAATCCGTTTTGTTCGCAAAAAGACTTTGTACAGTAAATCCGATCGTAGAAACACTTAATTCGCTTTAAAACGAAATAGTCTGACAAACACATTTTGCTGTTGCAGCAAAGCTATTATTGCGAGATGGGCATCAACTTGTAAAGCAATATAATTTACAGACGTGCACAATTGTTTTCAACAAACAAAATTAATATTCTCAACAAGTTCCAAATCATATCATTATAACGACAAATTGTTTCAGTGCAACAGAAAAATATATTTAGCCAGAAATTCCATCATATATTTTGTCTTAGCAGCAAATTCGCGTTTTTACGAACAAATTTACCCGGCAAATTTTCTCGATAAGATAAGTCTTGTTGCAATGTCAAATAATTGATTGGTAGCGAACTTTAATAAAAACTGCGATTTTCTTGCGACGGCAAAATTATTTCTCTCATTGTACCAACAAACTATTAGTACCAACAAATCTACTCTTTCGTTCTCTTTCATGAGCGTCATATTGCACAGGACACTTATTGCTTTTAGTCCGGCATCGAGGATAAATTTCGTACATGTGACGAGATCGCACACATAAATATTTAGGATTTTCTCGCATAACAAAATTTATAACTGGATATCGTAACACATAGATAGGCATATATATATATTATATCATATAATATACCATATCATATAACATTATATTAATAGTTTATTGATATGGATATGATATGGTATCATATCATATGATATTGATATGGATATGATATGGTACCCCATATACTATATAATATATATATATATATATATTATATACATATGTATGTATGTGTGTATATGTATATATTTCATCATTCTTGTGTCAAGTAGTGACAATTCGCGAACCTAGTACACTGCTCCTCTCTTCTTATTTTTTCCTCTTTATAACTGTTCCATAGAAACGACAACGCTAAATCCATTTTAAAAAGGTAATTTGTAAACACATGTATGAGTATGTATGTGTATGCTTTATGTGGTTTACGTGCACGCGCTTGGACACGCGCAATTAATTAATCCCGACAGAGTCACGTAAGCCGCACTGTGATGACGAATAAGAGAGACATAAGACTCAACGAGTAGTTAAAGAGACGGCCGGCGCTACCGCAAAATTTGATCTCCATCTCCTCGGGGTGATAATTTATGCATTTCGGTGGTCTTCGTCGATACAGGCGTTCTCTCCGTGCCGTACACGCCCCAGGCTCGGTTAGCGCCTCGATTGGCTCGATGCTTAGCTGCTTACTGCCGCACGGGCACAACGTGTCGACCACCAGCAATATCAGGTTGGTGTGACGGATCTTTTGGACACTAAACGGTCTGCACCGAGACGAAAAACAAGAAGAAAATGTATTCATCACAGATCACTTAGGCCGGTATTTATAGTCGGATCTTATATTTAAGACCATCTTAAGTACAATCTTAAAATGTTATGAACCAATCACAGAGCCGTATTAGCATCTTAAGACATTACTTAAGACAGTCGATTCTCTGCATCACTTTCGAAAATAGAGAGATGTAAGTTATTGTGACACAAAGATTTACATATAACGAAGAGAAATTCAGTGACATTATAAGTATGATAAATTAAAATTTATTAAGTTCTAATTGATTTGTAATTATCAATTTCATAAATTAAAATCAAATACTCTAAAAAATAATACAACACAATTAGGGGAGACCGGGGCAGATTTTTCTTTCTAATTTTCGAAATGCGAATCAGTCATTTATATACAATCACTTTCAGATTACCTTTCACATCCGGTTACGTGACAATTGGTGAGTTTTCCTTTTAGAGGGTTGCTCTGGCCGCTGGTGTTGAGTCGCTCGGGTTGCAGGATATACAAATCCGTTTTCTTCTCGCAGGCGCGCAATTTCATCGGATAATGAGCAGAAGTAGCCCGTGTGGTCGGCGGCGAGGCCGGTGTCGCTGGTGCGATCACCGGAAATCTCACGTACACATTGTTCTCATCCGACGTTACCTCGTCCGTCGAGTCGGCAGGCGTCAGCGACTCGAACTCGTGCGTCTCCTCGTCGTCAGAGAACACTAGATCATCTGGAAAAGATAAACGCGTTTCATCAACGTAAAAACGTGATCTTTAATTTTCAAACGCTATATCGGTTTTCCGTTTCTATTCGATAAGGTATGTCAAGAGCAACTGCAAGTTCTTCCTATATATGTTCTCTTTCAAATCGGAATTTTACTTTACATTCCTCTGACGCCAAATTATTTAAAATTTTTGCATGTTTCTGATGATACGTTCATTTTCACGTGGTACCAATAACTTCGTTTATATACTCGTTTATATAGCTTTTTCAGCAAAATTAAAATCGAAAGCAGCAACGTCTAATAAGTTCTCCATCTTATATTTAAATACCGTTTGCCGTATGTACGTTACCGTAGCGTCCATTGCGCATTATCTGGGTAGCGTTACGATGAACGATGTGTGTGCGCCAGTTATATCTTATTTCTAGCCGATAACATGAATAATATGATTTTAGCGTTTACCCCGTATATCTGAAAGACAGTATTGCAAAAACTCCCTGTCATTCGCATTTACCCCGTATTCGCAGTTACCCCATTCTCCCCTACTATCTATTCTTACTGAAAGTATATAAACAGTATGTAAAAAGTATATAAAGTATATAAAAACAAGGCAAATGAGAGCCAATACGTTAGTCGGGCGACGGTTATAAAAATCGAAAATTAATAAAATATATAACAAAACGTTTCGGTCCCTTGGTTCGGCTTCCTCAGTGTGATAAAAAACGAGGATCAAGGCATTCAATTGTGTGAGACTGTGGCCGAATGGTCGTAGGATCCAAAAATGCAGTCGAGAAAAACGCTCTAACTTCATAACATAATTTACGAATATGGATGTCGTTCGTCGATGTGACTGTTGCTTGACAGTCAAATCGATAAAAATTCAAGACAATGGTAAATCACTGAGAATATCTTTACCATGAAAACTTTTCCTTATTAGGCATTTAAAAAACCATCCTGCTTATTAAGCAAATCTTGAGTTCAGAGTTAGTTCTTGTCAATCGCTCATAATCAATGGACTTTCGATTTAACGCATTATTGTACTGCAATCTCGCTTGCCTATACCGTCACCTGAATAAAGTCTGGTCACAAAATATTATGATGCATCTTGCTTGTGTTTTGTTAGTAGAACCTGCCAATATAATCTGACAGCAGAAATCGAGCAGAATGTACCATTTCGTAACATTTAAACAAATTATATCATTCAAATGATTACGGAATGGTAGATTTTTTAATAGTCATTTAATATCTTTTTGTAATATTTAAAATTCATATACTGATATTAATCCGGCAATCCGTCTACTGACGGAAAACTGTTTTATCTATCTATTCTGGGCTTATGTCCCTTTCAGATTTCTGTCTGTTTATGAAAATAACAAATCTTCCTTCCACTTATGATACATATTTTGATGACTAATCTAGAATTAGTTTAGTCCTCATTATTTGAGAAATATATTCTATATAACTGTTTGATAGTTTTGATAACTGTGAAATAATAGATTCTGTATTATTGTTATGTCTTTGAAAATAATCTTGATGAAAATGGTTTCTAAAATTAGCATTATATTGTTGGAAGCACAAGAGTTACTCTAGCTTATTTGCACACTATGGTAGAAAAAAATTCTTACAATATTTTTAAGAATTTTTCATATTTTAAATTTTTTATGAAAATTTCTTTAAAAATACGAGGGTCGGTACGAAAGCAATGCCTCCTAATTTATTTCTTATGAATCTGGCGCCATAAAAAATTTTTATAAGTTTTACTGAGTAGTTCGAACTGCTCCTGTGACACACTCACGTAAATGATCACAATACCATTCAACGTAACGCAACTAGAGACTGTAAATAACAACTCATTGAAACGCAAAATTTTCTATAGCGCCAGATTCAAAAGAAAAATATTAGAAGGCATTACTTTCATACCGACCCTCGTACTTTTAACTTCTACAGATTTTATAAGTTTTTATTTTCAGAAAGAGTAATAAAATTATAAAGAATTATAAAGAATTTTAGAAAAGCTGTAGACTCTCTCAGCATGTCTGAAAAATGTCTTAATTTATATTTAAAAAAAATAGAAAAAATTTGTGAAAAATTCTGAAATTTATATAGAAATTCTGAAAAATTATGCGGAGTTCTAAAAGAAATCACATTAATATCTCGTAATTTGTATGTATAAATAAAATGGAATGCATGTACTCTTGCTACATAATTTAACGAAATAAATGCTATCCGCTACCCTTGTATTTATATAATTTATTGTTTCATTTATCATGCAAGTATAAATATATTTTTTAAATATTACCGTCCATCACGTCGTTAGCCAACGCCAATGTCGTCTGCCATAAATCTTGAATATTGAGACTCAAAGTCAAAGTCCAAAGAAAGTTGCCGAATGCCGCTGCCGTCGTTATGATAGAATCAGATAGACTTCGCGGCGCCGATGACTGATTAGATTCCTGAGGGCTGCAAGTCCCTTGATAATCGATGACGGTCACTTTTCTGAGAAATATATATCATATAAAATATCTTAATGTCCCGAACTTGTCAGTTCGATTCCGGAATATTGCAGCAATACTTGCAATCTTTCACCTTATAACGCAACCTTTTGGCCGCGTTCAGGCAACACAACTGTTGAGTGAGCGCTCATTATGATTGGTTGTTACACTTAGATCCGGAGAAGAACCAAAGGTAAGAACCAATCATATTAAAGAATCACTGACCGCTCACTCAACAGTTGTCTTTCCTGAATGCGGCCATGTAAAGGAATAGAGTTGCAAAATTGCGGCAATATTTGAAAATTGATTTATAATGGTAACCACGTCAAAATCATTATAAAAGTATCGCAAATAAATATCTTTGAGTATAATTCCAAATTTTTTATTTTAAGATATTTATGCGCCCTTCAAATTTGTTTCGGTTAAAGTTCATTCTTACTTTTGCTTACTATTGCTTGCAGCAACATTATGTTATGTAAGTACATTGTATTCATTATATTATGCGTGCGCGCACAATAACTCTTAGCGCGCAATAACTAAAACATATAACTCTCCCTTCTCTTTTTTTGACGTTATATTAAAAAAAAACGGATATTACAACATTGTTGCAATTTTATATACAATATTGCAGCAATATTGCGCAACATTTTTGCAATATAGACGCTTTCTGAGATAATAGAACTATTCTTTAATTTATTAGAAAAAATGCAGAACGTTTCGTGCACAAAGGATCTTGAAGATATAATGGAAGATTTAGCAAATATACACTTTTAAAGATAGTAAAAAAAATCAATTAAAGTTCAAACGAAAATGAGAAGAATGATCATATAAATTAACAAGCTCTGTACGGTTTTATTGAGATAAATAACGAATTTAATTATACACAATTTGATTTTCATAGAGTTAACTGAGAGAAAAGTTGCGTTGTCCTAAACATGAATCCGAACCATTTCGAACAGAATTCAAAGGGCAATGAGTGTATAACATGCAAGAAAAAAATGTAAATCTACAATTACGGAAAATTAGAATTATTGGGAAAACAAATCGCACGTAGATTTTAACAAATACATCAAAACTAATGAATCTCGAGATGTTTGAAAGGTTAAATTACGAGAATTGCAATAAACGATTTTTTGAATTCGTGATGATTGCTGATATCAGCGTAGGAGTCTTCTATTTTCAGTAGCACACAATTCAGAATTTATATTTTAATCATGCTCTGTATAAATAAACATTTCATCTATAATTACCTATATATCCTATCTTGTACTAAGGAATCCATTATAGTTCCATCTATCTCGCCGAAGAACTTTCCGGTGTGCTCGTGACGTTCGCTTATGATAATAAATCCATTGTTATCAAGAATGTAACAGTCAAGTTCCTCCGAGGCGCAATTCTTTTTACATCCCGTCATACCGGTACACTAAAAAAGCAAGTTTACTCATCATATTCCGCGCGATTAATTATGCGTGGGGAAAGAATCAAGCATTCTACTCACCGTCGAAGTGATGTTCACGAAGTGAGTCGCCAAGGACGAGTGTTGAAATTGCAAACCCACTACCGCTGCTGGTGCTTTGTGACCCTTCCCGATGAATATGGCATGAGTGGCGGTAACAAGTGGATCGGCTGTATCGGCTAATAATGCAACAATCATATAATCAACAAAATATAATCAAATAAATAATGTAGCGTTAATCGAAGATGTTTCTTACGTACGTTTGACAACATATGACACATAACTTATGTAGAAATAAAATTGTATTGTTTGCATGGACATGTAGCTATAGCTTAATTATGTAATTAAAACCTTCACAACATTACTCAAGGTGATGACCTTGACAACATTTCAAAATTATGGAAGTTGGGGATATAGCTCCCTAAATATTTACCATTCTAAATATTTTTATTCATACTTTTTTATTCATAACTTTTAAATAAGCAATGATCGCCGATTAAGTAATAAGGAAAAGTTACTCAGGGTGATATGTCTTTGATAATAATCAATGAGCTTGACATATGTCAAGCTCAAAGTCATTGGCTTGGTGTCCCCTAAAGTAAATAATTACTCAAAATTGTTCTTTCCGTGCAAGTGCAATTTTGACATTTTAGCAAGCGTTCAATATAATTATTTAGATAGATTGGAATATGAATTTTTTCAGATCTATATTTAACTACATTCTTAGATATACTTTAACAAAACCGCTCTTTCCATACTTCTCGCTCAGAGAATATTATAAATGTGTGTTATATAAAATATGTATATTTACCCGCGTCAAACGGTACGCTGAAGACGAAGCTTTCCGGTTCTATGGAGTGTTGATCCACTGCGCGTTTGTACCACGACGAATCCATGGCTCTCGCGTGCCTTTCAGCGAATCGTCTATGTGCAAATGACGTTAGAATGCAGACCGTGTTTAACTTAGAAACGGGCGCCTAGGGTGATTTTTACATCCCCGTATCAAAGAAATGGAGCTCACTCACAGTAATTTTCACGTCACAGTAATTTTAACGTGCTTCTTTCGTTTTTTAAAATATTTTTTTTGTTTTTCCTTACTTTTTTCAGTAAATGTTGAGTATATATACATATCTATACCTATATCATAATCTACATACATGTTATCCTCAAATACCAATAAATTATAGAACAATTAAAAATATGCAATGTGTAATTAAGAACAATAACTTTTAATTGGGGTGTAAATATCACCTCAAGTGACCATTTATGCAAAAAAAGCAATCGGTACTAAATCGCATTACATCTGTCGTTTTCCAAAATGTATTCGAACAACTTAATAACAAACGAATGCTGTTTCACATACGGCTCATAACATTTATCTGATAGTCTTATCGTTAAAAATAAGCTCACGGTTCTTCGGTGTTTCCTTCACTCTGCAGATGCTCGTGCCAGCGCAGGAGTCCGCTTCTGGTGGCAATGAAGCTCCTCGTAACGCCAAATCTACCCTTGCCCTGACTGTAATTGTAAAACGCGCCATGTAAACCGTATTCTCGGTAGTACAATAAACACGCCACCACGGTATGCAATTTTTTTTTGCATATTCAATAGCCGAATTGCAAATCAAACTAATTCACTTTAATCGTGGCACGATCGTGGAGCGATTTCCGATCGATAGCTTACAGCTTTTCCTCTGTCGATTAAAAAGCACAAGGAAACAAGTGCGAGATGTGACATAGAAGCCGCGAAAATGTCGATTTGAGACGCCGACCTTGACATTTGAGATTCCTATGTAAAAAAAATATCTCTATCGATTTCAACATTTTGTAGATTTGGCAATTTGAATTAATCGCGTTCAATAATCGTAACATTAATTAAAAATATACAGAGCGTCTAATACCTGACGGTAGAGTAAAAAAAGAAAGTGATTCCTTAATGAAAATTTAGGATACACATTGATACGACAATAAATCTTTACAGCGATCATATACTTTCTTGATGTTTTGATGTCTTTACAATGTTTCCCGATTATTTCTTGCTTCGATTGCAATTAAATCATTTCGCCATTTTAGGAGCAAGCGAATCTCGAGCGTTAATTGTCACTTTATTTGTAGCCAAAACAGCCGACTTGATAAAATATCGCTCTATCTCGCTAACTCCTTGTACTCGTCTTATTATTTTTATTCTCGAGCCATATATAGATCTCATTCCTGGGAATATTACATATTTTTAACATCGTAAACCGATTTATTTTACGGCAATAAATTAATTTTATACGGCGCGCCGCGGCGATTCAGAAACCATCTCTTTGTTTCGTTTCTTTTTTCTTTTGGTTTAGACTAATCATGTAAAAAATAGGAGAATCAAAGAAGATCAACACGAATGCATCGGGTAAATTTAAATTTACCTAATGAATCTATCTTCTCTCAATCCACCAATTTTTTTACATGGCAAAATTTTCCAAAAATAGGACGGCTATAGTCGACGGCTGTCAAGCATTCACTTTAGCTCGTACATTGACTATAGTCGATGACGAAAGATTATACAATCTTCCATAGTTACTTATCGATATTAAGGCTTATATAATCTTATCTATTTTATTAAATATGAATTCTTTTCTAAACATCTTAATTTATATTTAATTTTTTCGATACCAAATTTCACAAAGATATTTTCCTACCATTTTTTTTCTTTACATATGTCATTTTCTTACAAGGAATCACTGTCTTTCCGATTGCACCGTCGGTTTTAATATAGTCAATTATATATGTAGGCACATGTGTCGTGTGTATAAAGACTTGCCAAAACATACGGTTTTTAATACACTTTTTGCGCGTATATCTATCATCTTTGAATTTCGCAATCACCAAATAAATTCAACGTTCGATCGCAACGTCTTAATACGTCTTTATCCATGTCGAAGATAACAAACATATTTTAAACAACATACGATCATCACAAAGTGAGTATTACCGTGCATTATCGACAAACATGTTTAACGTGTTAGACAAATAATTGTGCATAATGGATTACCTGTGCAGTAGAGCCATCAGTATGGCAATAGGGCTAGCGGTGGAGACACACAATAATAAAATGTAATAAAAATATGCAATAAAAGATAATATTGTGAAATGAAATGTTGGACGGTTGCTCATAGTGCACTTGGTATGTTACAAGGTAGTGATAACTTTTGTCGCACTGCGATTTCTCTTTGTACGATATATACCTCCGGCAAAAAATATAAAAATTATACATATATATAAATATATATAATTGTATATAATAGATTGTATATAATAGATTTTACATGTATTTTCTTTCTCTTATATAATCTCTGTTCAAATATACTGGAAAAATAATAAGAAGAAATTTAAAAATAATTTAAAAAATAATTTTTGCATTACTTTTTTTATGAAAAGTAAAATTTGAAAAAACGAGAAAATTGCGCATATATAATCATATATAAATGTAATAATCATGTATGAAATATAATTATATATGATTATGTATAGAATTGTATAATATAATCGCAATTTTACTTTTCGTAAAAAAAACATTATAAAAGTTATTTTTATAATTATTTTCCAATTATTCTTCTTATTTTTCCTATAAGATAAGAAGAAAAATTATACAAGAGAAAGAAATCATATATAGATATATTATATGTATATATATTATATCTAAACAATAATTATGTATATTTTTATATAAAAAATTTTTTACCGGGCCTATGTTAAACAATGTGCGAGCAATCTCTCTCTCTCTCTCTCTCTCTCTCTCTCTCTCTCTCTCTCTCTCCCCCTCTCTATCGCCTTTAATATCCCACGCAAGTAGCACGTGTATATGTAGAGTATCTCTTTTTCATATACACATACACTCTCGATCGAGTTCCGAACAATATTCTGACGACCGTCAGAAACTTTATCCGTCTATCAATGCTATAAAAAAAAGACATTGCATTTTCAAGGTTTAGCATTTGCTACACAACTTGTGCAAACCAAGACGCATCACGGGCTATAATCAAGGCGGAAGTGGCGATCGAATCAATTTGCAAAAGTAACCGGCGTTATGCGGTGCGTGAATGGTAAACCGCGTGCTTGTGCATTGCTGTGCTCGATTGCATAATTTGCAATTAATTAGTGTGATAAATGGGTGAGAATGAAAGACGGGACGTGCACTCTTGTCTACTGCCGACACGGAACTTACTTTTCGTTCTCCTCTTTATGCATCCTCTGCGTTTCCCTTTTATCGAATCCGTCCGTCACCAAAGCATCTAAGACCAGTGATTGCACTAATTTTTTGTCACCTGAAACGTCACAATTGTGTTAAATCAGTACTACATCGATTGACACCGCTCGAGAAGTTTGAGATAGGTTTTTTATATGCGCAAATTTGCGATCTTTCAATTTAAATTAGAAAAATTTTCGTATGCAATATTTCTCATATAAGATAAGGGTACAATTAGTAAGTTATAGATCGCTCAATTAAATTACAAATTCATATTTTCATCCAAAAGGATATTAAACAAGCAATGAAATATTTAATGGTTATAATTTATTATAAAGAATATTTTACGGGTAATTTTGTTCCATGTCATTATTGATTGTTTAATTTAATTTTTTAATTTTAATGTAATAAAAAATAAAATAGCATAAATAATTCACAATTTTATTATTAAACTCTGGATACTAATTGCGAATCAGTTTTCAAAATGTTTTATTCTTTTCGGAGGCGTTATTCATCCTATAAAAATAATATCTAAAAATAAAATATTATGCGCTTGCGTATTGCAATGTACAATGTTCAACTGAGCATGATATTGATTTTTACCATGAAATCTTTTCCCTGAAATGCTATTTACTACATTCTGTAAAAGCCTTAAAGCAATCCTTGTAAACATTACACTTTAAGTAAATTAAAAAATATATTTTAATTGATATCTCATCGTTTTACTATCCGACGAGCCGATAAAATGTGCAACGTTCTTAATATAATAAATCGTTTTATGCATTAGATATTTTTCACAAATCTGTGACTTATCAAGGCTACATTTTCGGTTGTCAAATAAAAAAAAAATCAATTTCATATTTTGAAAGTTAAAAGTCTTTAAAATATATCCTTGAAATATTATGTTGAAATTTGAAAAACTTGCTAAACTATAGAAACCGTTTATCTGACAGATGCGCAGATAGAAAACAAAACGCGTAGCGCATTTCTTCGGATTCGCGTCGATTCGGGTTGGGACAGATCTTTAGATATAAAGAGGACAGCATTTCAATGTTTTCTGTACTTGTGTGTGTAAGTGCAAAATACAACAAGAATTTCAATTTTACAATTTGGCATATCGCGCCTAAGCATCTTCATTGTGGTTCCAAAACAATTAAAATTGCTGCGTATCTATGACGTCGGGATTTTTAATGAAGAATTCAATGCAATTCTCATTGACAACAATAAATGTAACTATTGGTCTGCAAGCCAAATTATTTGCTGATTCTCGCAACAGCCAGCGGTTGAAGACAGTGTCCGCCTAATAAAGTACTAAAGAGGCTCGAATCCCACGAAAGGATGATGATCAATAACACTAAAGGTCTTTTATGAAAAAGAAGAAGATTTAATTTATGGTCCAGCAATAGCTTACTAGTGCAAAACAGCTGTAAGTACTTGAAATTTTATAGTTAACTGTACTTAAAATTTTAAACCGTTTAAACGTTTTTCTCGAAACAACATTTTTTTACCTAACGACCACGATATCTCGGATAGTCCGATTAACTTCAAATTTTCAGGAAATATAGAACACAAGTCTCTTTCTGGCATAAACTAGAATTATTTTATTACAGCTTGTACTTTCTTTATTATTGCAAAAATATGGCCAATTTTTTCGAAAAATCGATGTTTCTTGTTCGGAACAACACTTTGTTACTTTCTATTCTTTTTTTTTCCATTTTATTTTAGTTCATGCGATAGTCATACATGTGAAAATTATATCCCATTTTAATTTTTTGTTTCAGATTACCCAGAGACAAGTTAGAATGGTCACCATAGAGAAAAAGATTTTTTGAGGCAACTCGTAAAAAGAAGATTTACACACACAAACGGAAGTTTCAATAAATAAATTTAAAAAAAATTATATCTTACATTAAAATGTTAATAAACAAGCCTATACAAACAAAAAATTAATCAAGTCAAGAGTTTCTTTAAACAAAATTTCCGAAAAATCTCCTAATTTTAAGCGCTTGCAACCAAAAATGTAGCCTTAAGACGTTAAATTAATATGACGTGTGTGTACTTACAATAATAAGAATCTTTATCCGGCTTGCTCGCCTGTTTGTGATGCGAGCTGGGACTCCTTGCTCTCAAGGACATCCATTTCCATCCCGGTCGGCGCGTCCGTGCCAGGAAGTGCAGGACGCGTTCCTCCGGGGAGGAAAAGAACTTATCGGAAGCCGAATTATATTCGCAGTAAATCCAATCGGGATGCACTTTCCAGTTGCCTCCCTTGAAATACTCCGTTACTGCAACGCAACATGATAAATTCGCACAGAATCCGACGTTATCAAAAACGCGCCGGTTTTTCTCTATCATTTTAAATTAACACGCGCAATTGTAATGAGAAATTTACCATTTACGATGGCGAGCTTGATTTCTTGCTCAGCCCGTAATTCGAACATGCCGTAGCCTTCCGGTAGGGCCAAGCCTAAAGAAAACGGGGTACCCTCGATCGGCTTGTAAAAATAGTTATGCCGTCTAATCGTAACTCTTTTCTGCAAATCAACAAAGCATCGCGTAATAAAACAGAAATTATATCATCTCTACGATTATGACATTAAGCTCGTAATTGCTTTTTTAAATAATAACTTACCATATCATCATAATGTATTTTGATTGTAAAGTCCGTTTCTCCTTCTTTTTGATCGATCATGTCGCGTCTCAGCTAAAAAGAATAACATTATCAAAAATCACTATTGTAACATTAGACATTATAAAAAAATTAATGATAAAATAACGGAAATGTCGCACTTACATCGAGCAGAAGCGAGTTGTTCGGGGGAGCCGAAGGGCCATCGTATTCTGCGAGTTCAACTTCCGATAGATCTACACTTATATACGAAGGTTTCAACGTTTCATCGTACTGAAAAAGAAACGTATATTTCTTTTAATTCTTTACATAGAACATTACCTTTTGTGTGCGCGCGCGCGCGTGAACGAAATTAGAGTGATTGATGGAAAGTATAAATTCACATATATCATTTTTTATCTCGACAAAAGTTAACATAAATTCCAACAAAAGCACTTTAATAATTTTTATAATTTAAAACAAGAAATATATCAGTCTAAGATGTTATCGCGATATTTCGCTCTTGTGAATTATTGATTTCTCACAACTCCTTAATAAAGCATTCTCAGACAAGGTCTTTTATAAACTTTTTTTATATGCTTAATCCTCATAATGCGCTGTATCAATTTGGTCCCAATTTTATTAGATGTTCTGCATATACTCTATTTCTATAACAACAGGGTGACAAAACGTGATTGTGAACACTCTCGATCTTTAATAACTCTTTATTTATATATTAATTGCTTTTAACAGTTTTTTTTTTTTCGATATAATTCCATTTTGTCCTATAGATTTTTAATAATTGCTCAGGTCAGACATGGAGCTTGGAGAACCTTATTGATCAATTCTTGAGGAAATTCTTCGAAATTTATTTTAAAGGCGTGTTTGTGACCTGTCGTATCTTTAATTTGTTTATTTCCTCACAGCTTTCGTTTCAAATAGCTCCAAACAAAATGATCCTTCGGGATCTGCATTGATCTGCATCTGAAGACTTAATCAGTTCTTCTTTAGAGGAGAATTTAATTTTGTTCGCGTGAACTCCAAAGTCTTTGAAAACTCCAAAGTTTTCGATGCGTGCGATAGCGCAGAATCTTGAACCGTTAGGTATACGGAACTATATATGTCTTATTGATATCCATTTTGTTTTAAGAGTTTTAAAAGTGTCCTCTTTCACTTATCAAAAAAGGGCACTTTTAATTCTAAAATGAGGTCTAAATTACGTCGATAGTGCGAAAAATAAAAAGTTATTAAAAATCAAAAAATTCATAATCGTCTTCCGTTACCCTCTGTACATTTAATGATTGAGCACATCAATATAATGAATTTTACTTACTTCTGTGTTTCCAGGCTGCGTGAAACATTTATGTAATATTATGATATTATTCATGTCTCTCTTAACACATAAAAAAATAAAAAAGTAAAGATAAAAAGGGTGAGAAAGAAGAAAAAGAAGAGATTGATAGGCTTTTTTTATTATAAGCTTCTAAATTTTGTCGAACTTAGAGATTGTTTTGAAAATTTATTCGTCTTATGTACATATATGCTAGAATGAAAAAGTGTGCTGGCGATAAAATTACAATATATTCGCGAAACTAGTTTGAACACATTATCGTTTTTCGCGAATAAAATACGTTATTGATACTCACGAGAAGCCGCAGGTCAGGATGATACAGAACTCTGCCATTATTGTCAACAATAAACGAATATCCATTAACTCCTAACTGTAACGTAAGAAACACGTTATTAATACGTATATTATGGTAACATGATACTAGCAAAATCAACGAGCAAAATATATAAGTAAGCGCCAATTGCACTAATAATGTGATATATACTAACTCAACGAGCAAAATATATAAACTCGCGGCACGAGTTTCTGTAAGCGCCGATTGCACTAACTTCGAGGCTAGCTTTTATCAAGTAAATTTTCTCTTTACGATATGCTAAATTTTATTCTAAAGATAAATTATTCCTTATATTTAATTCATTTTTTCTCTCTCTCTTTCTCCTCATCTACATTTAAGATGAAATTATATAATATTATTATTAATATTCTACAAAAACTGTAAAGAGTCGAGTCTTTCTGAAGCCAAGTTATTGGTACAATTAGGCTGAATAAAATGATGAGAAAAACAAATTAATTTGTACCTTGTAAGGCGGCACGAGTTTCTGAATCTCCTCGACAGGTACATCGGTACCGACAATACCCAATAAATTAGCCGTTTTCACCTTAGAATGATAATATACAAGCTGAAGTACACTTTATTTGCATATTACTTCACACACACTTAACATTAAAGTGGCTTTCGCGCAATATTGAAATAAAGCGCCTCCATCACGCAAATATTGTTTTTAAAATATAATTACCGTATAATTCCGGCGATCTAAAATCGGAGCTGTCACAGACGTCATCAATTGGCCCCGATTTTCTCTGCCGTATCTACTGCTCTGAAGGTCAATTGTTATTAATGTAGAAACGCCGCAGAATTATTACGTACATACGACAATGAGAAATTACTTATATTTGTAAAAACATTCCGTAAAGCACGAATTAATTAATGTAATTGATATAATAATTATTTATGTGTAAATTTAACTTCTTACTTTTCCACCTACGTAAGCGGGACTCCAGTGAAGGGGATGGTCATGCTGATAGAGTACCATAGGCCGCGCTAAAACCTTCACGTACTCGAAAACTTTATTATGGATTTCGTCCGCGTTCGTTATTCTCGCGTAAAATCCTACGAGATTGACATCAACAACATCAGAATACACAAAAGCTTCATTAAGTATTTCTTAAGTATTCAATATTATAATTAAGGTATCAATTTTATCTCTCAATCTTTTTAGATTACACCTCATTTTTCTCTCTTAATTCTTAATACTATGTTTCTAATTAAACTTTAAGTTAGTTAGTTTAAATGTCTTTTAATTATAATACTTACAGTGTCTCGTAAAAAGGTACAACAGAAAAAATAGGAGATGAGAGTGAATCTTACACGAAAGAATAAGAAAATGGATAAAGTAAAATTTTTCAAGACTTCGTTTCCTGAATAAATAATTTTGAAACAAAAAAAAATAATAATATTCGTGCTTTATATGTCCTTGAATAATTTTTAACAACTTTTTCTTATTGTTTCGTCTCAACAGCGATTATTAATGATGACTAGCAGTGGCACATAAATAAAATGAGTAGGTATCCAAAATAATATAACATTCAGTTTTTAATAAAACTAATTGAAAAACGATTTGAGTTGTAGAGTACAAAAAAGAGTTGTGTAAAATGTATATCGATATCATTTTTAATAGAATGTCGTCGTTTCATATACACAGTGTCTTATAATCTCAAAATCTCGGGTGAAAATCGTAGAATGGTACAGAACTTTTCTACTCAATTTAATCCGCTCTACCTATCCATGAGCAGTGTTTACATTACAAAACAAATTTGTTGGCCTATAGTACGAGAAATCCTTAGAAATAATTCAAAATGTAAAAAAAAAACATAAATGTCTTTAACGTTCCAATTTTCAAAATTTATATTTTTCAAAAACGAAGCTTTGTGTGAAAAAAAATTTGATTTTACGTTTTATCTTTTTTCTCGTAGAATTATCCCTTTCCCGATTACGAGACTGGTTACGAGACACCCTGTAGTGCATCTATAAACAGTGTAAACAATCGAGTAACACACGAGTAACGTTACCTTTATTGGTGCAGGCCGTGTTTTGGAGATCGGGGCTCTTGTCGCCACCGATGAGATAAGTAAAGAGCCGCACGGGCATATGCGGCCAATTGTAACGCTTTATCACTTCTGTGGGTGGGCCGTCGGTATCGGAGGTGATCAGCATGATAGCCTGGTTGCACTGGCTCCCCTGGCTGGTGCGATTGTACTTGTGAAGGATCTCGAATGCGGTGCTGAGCGCGGCCGAAATGTTGGTCGCGGTGTCTTCGTGTTTCACGGTGCTCAAGGCCACCTTCATCTCGTGAACGTTCTCGGGCGACGCCTGCACCAGGCTATCCTTAAAGCATTGCACGATCTCTTCGGCGTTCTCCCCGTAGCGATATACATTCACGTAATCATCCGGCCCCAGAGTGTCCAGGACGATCTTTGCTGTGGCTATCGTCAATCGTCGATTCCGATCAGACGTATAGGTCGCACTGTCGATCAGGATCGCTAGATCCTTCGGGCTGTTTGCCGCCCCAACGAACCAATTCGACATCCTGAAGTCGTACACGTCGCGAACGGCCCGATGATGCGAGGACTTGGATGCCCCAAATGTACCCTCCATTGGCGGCCATGATATTGCTATAATACATGTAAATGTATAACGACTAGCCATTCTTGCACGATTTTCTAGCAATATTCTTGTAAAAAAATATCTATGTTGCGAAAGCATATTGTATTCACGATCGTACTATCACGTTCGTATTACTTAAATAGTCTTTCGAGTGTTATATTTTGAAAATGTTATAAATGAAGCTTATATAGAAGCTTTCGTTCTTGAGTTATTTATTATAAGATCAAAATTGGCGTGCGAATCGAAGTATGCATGTGTGGAAGAATATTAAAAATACACTCACACACACATTTTATCATTTTTATCAAAACAGATATCTCAATTCTTCCTTAGAAAGTAAAATGTTTTGAACAAAGATTTTACAATTTTAAAGGAAAAACATGTGTTTTTATTAAACCTTAAACATATTAAATAATATCAGAGATTATTTATATGGCTACTTAGCATGTAATTTTTTTCCGCAATTCAAGATTTCTTCAGTTAGTCTGCATATAAAAGTATTAAAATATAATAGAATCATATATAATATTATAGGAAGATCAATAATTTACAAAATATCATATACTTAATTCTGATTTAAAATATGAATAAATATCTTATAAAATATTGATTCTTCGGTGATTAATTCTTGCTTGCTTTTATATACAAAAAAATGAGATAATTCTGCTGTAAAAAGATATTTAATTGAAGTAAGCGCAGCGAGAGAACCAATTAGCATCGCGGAAAAGCGGCAACAAAAAACTTCGAGATATGCGAGTATCGACTTAACATGCCTTTTTTTAGAAAGGAATACAAGGTATATATTTATAATAATATAAAACTTTACACGTACACACATAAATAAATTTGCTTAAATACCTGGAAAACGACGTAAAAATCCTGTCGTCGCTCCATAATATTGCCACGAGAGCGTAGGGTCACTCTCGTAATTATTAACAAACAGCAGATCCAAGTACTCGCTCCATTGAATACCTGAGGCAACGTCACGTTCTGCAAGTAAAGGGCTAATTTGCAACAGAGGTGACTGATTGTGAGTCAGATCATCCTTCTGGGAGATGATCTTTCCTTATTTAACCCGTTGAGGTCACATGGGGTATGGGGTCCAGTGGACCCCAGTTTTTTTTTCTCTCTTAAAAGTATACTATTTTGAGAGTAAAACGCACAAAGTTTTTTTACTCTATCTCAAAAAATTTTGATAAATATTTTTGTAAAAAAAGTCAAATTTCTCGAAAAAAAAAAATTTTTCTCGCGTTTTTTCAACATAATAATTTTTTTAAAATTATTGGATTATCAAGAGGAAGTCATAAATTAATTCCAGTTCAAGGTTTGAGTCGATACATCAAAAAGAACGCAAATGGAAACTGTTGTGGGGTCCATTGGACCCCATGTGACCTCTACGTTATTTTTAGGAGGTGTGACCTCAACGGGTTAAACTATAAAGCGATGAAAGAAACGCAGATAACCCTTATTCACGAAACATTTGCGTTTATGGGTGGACATTTTGTTAAATTTGTTGAAGCTATCTATCACGAGGCTCACCGTTGTCTTTGACTCCGCTCGGCAGAAGCACGGCAGACAAACTGACGTTCACTGCTAGGTGGTCGAAATGGCGATTCGTAGTGAGAAACACGTCCTGCGCGGGACCCTTCTCATCGCTGATGAAGCTATTAAGCCGATGTGAGGCGTAATACTTAGGCGATACGTTTCCATCCCTCGGTGCCGATACCGCGGCCTGTTCGGCGCTCTCCACTAATCTCTGTGAACAGAACAAATGAGCTATAATGTATTATGTTTTAAATAATTTAAATAACGCGCTTTCAATTAGCGCTAAACTTGGAACGACCTGTAACCAGTATCAAAAGTAAAAATAAATATCGATAAAATAAATAAAATTCTACTTATAATACTGTTTAGCAAAAAGAAAAAAATCCATTAAAACAGAGGTAATTATTTCCTGTGATTTTAGGCACTGTCTAGTAATTTTATTAATTCGGAAAATATATACACCCACGCAACATGGACGGTCAACTTTCTGTATTAAATATCAAAGTTACGTGGAAGGAAATTAATAATTATGATTAGTAAAGCTTAATTATAGCATTGTAATATAACAGATTTATTGATACAGCAAAGACAATTTTTGATCAAGATCAATCCATAGTATGATTCAAAATTTTCAACAAAACATATCTAAGATAACGAATGTTGTTGCATCAAGAGAAATTAAGTCGAGTTTATCGTGTAAAAAAAACTATTTGTTCTAATACTACACGGAGAGAAAAATCTTACTTCTGTGGTATGAGCGCCTCCCATGCATAAAAAGCATAGCGCTTCCTTGCATCAAACGCATGAATTTGTCCGTTTAAGGCAAGGATAATATCCTACTTCATGCT